CCTTCAAAACGCAAGCCTGCGATGGAGAACATAATCCACTGTAAACTCTGCATTCCTCATGCCAGAAGAATATCTCCTCTTCCCTGCTTAAGTGGTGCAGATGTGATTTTTTTGATGCAATTTTCAGCCTGCTTTAGTCAGGATTCCCTTCATGCAATTGCACTTCCACTCATGCTGTAATTATTTTCACCATTTGAAAATAAGGAACATTTTAATCCTTGGCTACTTTTACATAAGGGAATATGATTCTTTCAGATATTGGCTTCCAACTACCACCACCATTTTGGAGACATCAGCAATAGTCTCCCACGACCCTTCATGTCTCTGAAGATTTTCATAATTGCAGTCTGCTGTTGCATCTCTGATCAAAACACTGACCTGTGCACTACTCTGAAGGTATGAACTCCACTCGGAGCTCATCCAATTTCAACTGTGCTGAAGAGGAGAATGAAAGCTTCTTTTCAAAAATTTCCATGTGGATTCCACCACACAAAGTTAAATCCTCATCTGGAAATAAATTCTGATGCTTTCTGGCAATTCAATTAATTTCTACATAAATTTTATGGCGCTGGGTCATTTTCTCTAGAGGCCATATGAATTAACAAGGAATCACTTGAGGGTGATATAAAAAGAGAAGCCAAAAGGTCTGCTTAAATTTATATATATAATCCTTGTTAAAGGGAAAAACGTGTTAAAAAAATAAGCTGCAATAAAAGCTTCAGTCATCCGAGTTTATCTTGGAGGGGGCCTGCCATCCCCTTAATAGTTATGGCGTATGATATAGGTGGCAATTTAGATTAAGAAACCTGAATGCACTGCCATGGTCTGGCCATCAAACAAATGACACCAAGTGACGTGTATATCACTTATGTCTGGACCCAGGCATCAAATGACCAAGGTTGTATGAAAGTCCCAACATGTATGACAGCATGACTGAACTTTCCCTAAGTTGGGACTGCTGTAAGCAAGGATTTACGAGACACGCCTGCAGGTGAAAAAGAAGGGAACAGGACTGGGATTGTTCAGCCTTCTCGGTCCCTGTCCAGTCAAATCGGATGCCAGTTTGCTCGGTGCTGTACATTTGTCCTCGATGCTCTCCTCTGCCCAGGGGCAGATGCCATCCTACGTGAATAAACACAGCACTCCACTGACTCTGTATAAGCCAGATACTATGCAAAGCGGAAAGAAGAGGAGGCAGAAAGTCTTCTCTAGAGTGCCCAACACCAGATCCTGCTCCCATGAAAGCCAGAGGACTCTCATTTCTCCTCCGTAGGAGTCAGATCAGACTACGGGACTAGCAAGAAGCAAGATGTTACTGGGAGGTCGTTCAGTTCCATTTTCCTGGAGGTCAGCAGAAGTGCTGTGTTCTGCAACTCCTCACTGTGGGATTTCTTGCACCTTTCTTCGGAAGCTGCTGGTATCAGCCACTGTCAGACAGGACCCAGGAGCTCAGCAGCCTTGCTGCAGGACCTGAGCTGCTGGACAACTGACAGGGCTCACATGAACAAGAAATTTGCTTCAAAAAGTGTAGGGTGAGACACTAAGTACTCATGGACACAGCCTGTTCCTATGTGACAATAAACTAAAACAGGGAAAAAGATCAAAATAGCTTCCTCACGCCTCTCAACGCCTAGTACGTGTTGATTTTGTATAACTCCTGCCACAGAGCAGGTTTCGTAACCCACGGGCTGAAAGAAGGGAAAAGTGAAGCCGCAGCAGTTTCACTCACCAGTGTAGCACCTTGGGCATCAGTCCTGTTCAGGTCTTGTCCAGTCGCAAGTATGTCATGAATGTCACAGATCATGACCTGCTCTGGAGCAGCCCGCATCTCATTGATCCTTTCCTGTGTAATTCCTGTTAAAATTCCAGTTAGAGAAGAGTTGGAAAGGGTTTTTGTCTCCACTGATTGAGTAAAATTAGACTTAATAATTCCTGGTTGACATGACTTCACATCCTTTTCAGAGGCTATGTAGTTGAGGGGACTGACAGCTGTCTTTCACCCTCATCATTATTTAGGAATCAGAGAAACTAGACAGAGTCAGGTCCCAAGAAATTATGCCAGGCAGCAGCTCTCTGCTTTTCTCCAGAGGCAAATCAAGAGCTGAGAAACAAGGTAATTTTAGTACTACACTGACCTATTTTTGTATTTTACATGAACTCAGTCTCCTTACCTTGATAGGCCATGCAAGTCTCAATGACATCCAAAGTTGGCTCATCTTCACAGAGGTCATATGGCATGTTGCCATCTGCGTTCACTGCCAACAAGTCTGCTCCACTGCAAGGAGAAAGCGGCATTACACAAGAAAGGACCTCAGACATCCTGGAGCAGACAGTGCCAAACACTGGGATAAATCCTTAGCAAAAACTAACCGAGGTTTAATAGTTGCTCAAAGTTCACCAAGATTTGTGTGAGATAAGAAAGATTTGAAGCAAAGCCATGGAGCTATGAGTGGGGAAGATAAATTCCAGAAGTGGATGAAAGGTAGCACGCTACGCCTCCTTCACGGGCTGTGGGGCACGTGAGCCACTGAGCCATTCCTGTCCTCTCCTGATCCTGGCACTGGGCAGACTGGCAGCTTCTCAGTAATAGAAGCGATTTATTTGCTGAATTTCTGGATAACAATGCCAAGCAACTACCAGGTGCTTGTTATCTGGGCATCTGGCAGTCCTTCAATGTAAAGTTCGCAAGGACCAGAAAAGTTGGGAAAGATAGGGGCTGAATGGTGGAGGGAGCCTTCCATCTAGCCAAGGGCACCTTGGCAAAATATAGTAATTAAAAAAATATCCTGTCAACCGGTGAATTTTTCTTTCTCATTGTCCAAAAACACTCTCTAAGTGCTTTAGTGACCTCTGGGAGGTTACTATTTGGAAGTAAACTCGCCAACTAAATTGATGACTGTCCCCATGTAGTAGAAAATTTCCAGCACCTTCTGAACTGTACCATTTTAGCTAGCTGTTGAACAGTTTCAGCTGAATTCTTATCTACCTTGACAGTTACCAGCCATGGAAGGACAGCAGACAGGATCCACTTGCATTTAGATTCCTGTTTGTTTCTTTATTTTTTTCCCCTCTGCCTGAGCAAACTACACTGACATTCACATTTGCAAAGTACTAGCATTAGTTTAATCAGCAAATAAGAAAAGCAAGGAACTGGACATCTTTTGTGGGCTACTTCCTCTGATGGTCTCCAAGGGTTCCAGGTCCCATCACCAGTAACATTGCCTCCAATGGCAGTGTTTAACCAGTCATTTGATATGTCAGATCTGCTGTAAAGTACAAGTCTGATTGTAGCAAACAAATTAAATTACTCCATTCTTCAAAAGTCCGGAGGAAGACTGTTTCCGAGCATGGGATCATGACATTAGGCTACTAGAGTCCAAATTTGCTGGCAACTACTCCATACAGGACAGCCTACGATAACTAAGGCCATAAGCTCCAGTTCCTCACCTTGTCAGCCATCCCCATGATGCTCCCTTATCTTCCTTTAAGAGTCAGGAATGCACTATGTTGTTCCACATTTCATCTGTTTGCTGCGTTTTTATGCCCTTCATCCAAAAATTTCCTAACCCAAGTGGGAACACCCTCCAAGGGATGACTGTTTGCATCCTCTGCTCCACTTCCTTCATCATACAGCCAACAAAGAAGGGCCAAATTTTCGATGCTAGTCTCCTAGCATCATGGGGAGAAATCACCCTCCCCGAAAGAGAAGCGGCAGGTACTGCTGTGCAAGGCAGCATGTTAACGCTCCCAAAGCACGCTCTGCTCTCTGCACGGTCACTCTGGGAAATGGAGGAGAGGGCTCCACACAGAGTCAGGAATATCTGATCCAGACAGGATTCACAGCAGGTACTCATTAAATGGTAAACATGGTACAGCTCAAAACATATCTGGCTTCCTCCTTGCTGGCAAGTCTTTTCTAGACTTGAGCTTTAGGGCCTTGGTAAAGTCAAGTGGAAGGTTCAGTACAAGCACCCTGTGTCACACCGCTGGGGAACAAACGCATTACAAGAAACTAACTGGTTAGTAATTAAGAGCCAGTGAGACAGGTCACAAAGTTCACGCAAGTATTTGAGCTATACAAACATGCTGCTGTCCTCCTACATCAGTGTCTCTCTGACTGTGGCTGGAAGACTTAAGTCATATTTAAGAGCTTGAGGGCGGATCCTGTTGGCTGCTCCTATTTCTACCCATCCAGCGCGCATGGTTCAACAAGCCCAAACACAGACACGTACACACCAGCATACAGGCAAAAACTGGCAAATTTTGGCCCAGTTTCCAGAACTTCATGAAACTGAGTCAAGTCACCTAGGGTTTTACTGTGTCTCCTCAGCCTTTCTGCTCTTCCTCCTCCACCCCCTTCTCCCCCAAGCAGGAAGGAGCCCCATGAATAGCCTGAAAACAGCAAGTAATCACCACCGCTGCAATCTCGCAAGGTACTAAGCAGTCTCGGTTTCCATCTGCAGAAGCTGTGGGTAGAATCAGATCTGCAGAAAGGGACAGAAACAAAAAAGCCACGTACTGCTGGATGAGGATCTTCACTAGGTTGATATGACCACATGTAGCTGCTGCATGCAACGGAGTCCACAGCTCGTTGTCCTTTGCGTTGACGTTGGCCCCGTGGTTGAGGAGAAGCTTGACTATCTCTTCATAGTTGTCTATGCAGCACTGGTGAGGAAGAGATGCAGACAGATTAGTTTTTTTAAACTTTGGGAAGATGAGGGCTCATATCTGCTCAGTTGTAGCCGCGTACCTGGACATGGAGACCTACTTTACCCTGCAGTGTTTGGCAACAAGCATCTCCAACAGAATTAAACACCAAAATGAACAGAAGGAGGTCAGAAAGTCACCATGCAGAACACCACACTGGGCAGACTGAAGGTCACTGGTGTTTACAGGGCCTTGTGGTTTGGGGGCAGAACCAGCAGGGAATAATAGCAAATACGTGCACAGCTTCTGTTCCACTGGGTCTTCCATATTCAAGAGTAAACACAGCAGAAATTCAGCATAACCAGTACAACCACATACCAAGGGATGAGCTGACAAGCTGACATTCCTTTTTCTTAGGGAAAATCCCACACACTGGCATGTGATGAGTAAAAGTCTTCTCAGCAGCTCACACTACCTACCACAGTTATCTGAAGAGATGCAAGTTGGATTCCCAGAATTATGAGGTACTTCACAGGGCACCTTTCATTTCCTGTAATAAATCAGCGTCCTCGATGCCTTTACACCACAGTCCCAGAGGCAGCTTGCAAGAAGGGCCTCAACCACTTTCCTTTGGGGAAGGTGGAGTTTGCTCTTTGATCCACCTCATGCTCACTTCTTGACATGAATGTGCGTATGATAAAGACACTAAAATAAGATTCGTTCTTGTGCAAGAAGCCTGTTCATGGTCTACGCATTACTGCAGGCCCACATAGGAGACTCACAGCTCAGCGCTGCAGTATGGGCTTGTAATGGGGCTGAATTACAACCCACAACATGCACTTGAGCGGCTGAGTGACAAGGACTCTTTCTGTATTTCTATTTCTGTTTACTCTTTGTATGTGGTAGTGAGGTTAAAATCATGCCTGTCACACAGGCAAGTTATCACAGAAGTGTAACTGCATCCTTCACTGGAAGCCACTGCTCATGGGCAATAGTGTTCACTTAGGAGCTTCTCTCTGTTTGGGGATTCAATTAATTCTAGAGGATGCAAAGTTCCCACCTCACCTCCCAAATGCACCTTTACAATAATTGATGTTTCAGTGAGCAAGGGAGCATGGGATTCTCCATGGCTTCAGTATCTAGTGGGGAAAGCAACGAGGCTGTCAGTGTTTCTCTGTGTGCAGAGTAACATCTCTTTGGAGAGATGGTGGTGGTGGGGACCTTTTATTCTTCTAGAAGCCAGTTTGCATTTTTAAGAAAACATCCACCCAGCTTTGAAGAGAGCGAGCAACTTGCAGAAGAATCCAAAATCCCAGGTCAATGCGAGCATTTACAGCAGGGACTAATGGCAAGAAAACCACGAGTCCCTGTTCCGCCTTCAGAGAGAGTGTGACAACCGTGCCACTGTGTTTCGCAGCAGCGGAGGCGGCAGCTGCCAGGCACAGCGAGTCCCACGGGTCTTCTGCAGGGTAATGCTCCTGGTGCTTTCGCACTGAAAATCAGGACTTGTGAGGAGGCGGGGGAACAGGGGCCTTAGGAAGAAGAACAGCAAAACCCTTACAGGATCAGTGCAGAGGCTCTGAGCAAGGACACAGACTTACACACCGCTATAGCAAGTCTGTGTTTTACTGGCGATCAGCTGCTGCTGTCTGATACAGACTTCTGGAAATCCCTGAGCCTACAGAAAGCAGCAGCAGGCTCTCCAAGCATCCTGTGCATCATTTATTTATACCAGTTTCAAAACTCGTGGGTTGCCAAAGTCTCTAAATTTGAGTTAACCTGCTTTAAGAGTTTACAGTCCAGCCCTGTGAAGATTAAAGGATGGGAAAACTGTTGTTCAGGTCTGAAATCCAGCCCCAATTCCTGAGCTTTTATTATCACTGAACAAAGTCTGGGATACAGCAAGAGAAGGGTTTGACCTCTGTTTGCTCCCCAAGAAACAGGATCGCCAGCACAACATGGTGAAGTTTCACTGCTTTAACTGAGCAAAAAAATGCAATACATGAGCTCTCTCCGTTTGCCCCGAGAGGTCTGCTCAGAAGGCAGCAGGAAGATGGCAGGGAGCTGTGACCTCCTCCCACGCCTCACCTGATGCAGCGCAGTTAATCCATCTTCATTGCACAGGTCTGGGCTGATGTTGCTCTTCAGCAAGTAACACACTGTAAGGGAAGGAGACAGGAGGAAAGGAGAGTCAGATCAGTAATCCTAACACATCCCTTGCTCTCAGCTAGCCCTGGCCAGTTCAAGACAAAGGCAACCCACATCATCAGGGTTTTCCAGTGTGGGCAGAGCTGCAGGAGACCTCGCAGCCAAGAGCCCAACACTGGCGTGAACTCAGCCGTGGCAGGACTGGCAAGAAAAAAAAGCCTTCTTGGTTTTATCCAGCAGAGAGCACCAGCATACAACTTCCTTCCAAAGGAGACCGCTATTACAGCTGTCATTTTCATATGGCTGTGCTGGAACAGTCAACATTTCTATCTTGTGCTTTGCAACATCTGAGTACAACCTCTGCACACTGCAGCCCCGAAGAGCTCAAAGGCAATCGGTGATTTGGGGGTTCTGAATTACAACCGTAAGAGAGATCTCACTGTGGGAGGGATGAGTCCTTGCCTCAAGAAGTTATTGATCTGGGATGGGAAGCCCAATACGTTCAGGGGCCTTCCACATCTGAAATACACCGGGGTTGCTTTGGACACTTCACCTGAGCTGTTGGGTATTTGAAGAAAGCTTCCCAGAGGCTTTATTTTTTAACTGCTGCTTTAGAGGTAAAGAGTAAGATTTATTCCATTAAAATGCAGATTTCTGGAACACATGAAAAGTCGTTAGCCCCTAGGTGAAAAATAAAATTTGCTCTGAGGTACAGCTCTTGTACAAGGTAACAGCAATAAGGCTGGGAGAGGACGTAAATTAATAGCAACACAAGGAACTCTTCAAATTCAATGCTGCTGACAGATCTTGGTGATCTATACCCATCTTCTGTTGTTTACTTGCTCATTCCCTGCTTTTTTTCCAGAGATTTCACTAGCTAGTGCTTTTCCCACCTTAAATGTCACTGACAGCACAGGCACAAGCCAGAGGCTCATAATCATCTCCCTGGGGCCAGGGTAGCAACAGATATTCAAGTCCCATTTTATTTGATGGCAAGGATGTAACCATTGAGCGAAACCAGAGCTGCAAAATAAGGAACACTAACAAAGCTAAAAGGGCAATAACCATCTTCAGAGCTGTCATTAAACACGACTGCAAGGCTGGTCACTCCCAAAGCATCCTGCAGCCTCTGCTGCTTTTCACTGATGGCTGTCCCCCTCTTAGAGGGGGCT